AGGGACCCCGAAAAATATAACCAATCAAGATAGTTGTCCTTATAGACATAATCTAGGACTGTCAACAAATCAGGCTGATGTAGGGTGGACTTACATAGAAAATAATTTATTTAATTTTAAGTTTCGAATATTTTTTTTGAGAGCAGGCAAAACCACGTTAGATAATTTTATTCAAATAATTAAACCTAAGATTTAGAGTTAAGTGAAACCTTTTTTCAGGATTTGTTTTTAAATATTTTGCCTAAAGCATTATAATAATAAAATTCGATAGCACCAATTTCTATATTTTCTTTTTAATATTGCTAAAACTTTATGTTAATTCCACGATATAAAGACTTTTACGAATTAATAACATTGAAATATCAGTGTCTGGAGTCACCATGAAGGTATATTTTTCTTTACTCTCAGCTTTGACAAATATTTCTCTAATGAGAAAATCCACAGACCGAATACATTTCCTATATTTCTAAATACTGAATATATTATATATTCCAGAAAATAGTTTCCTATCTAAAAGCTAAAATATGCATAACTAACCACAAAATTGTGGTTTTTGTTGTTGTTCATTTATCTTTTTTATACCCTTGCAGAGGGTATTATAATTTCAGTCAAAAGTTTGCAACGCAGTGAAGGAGACATTTCCGACCCTATAAAGTATATATATTCTTGATCAGCATCACCAGGAGAGTCGATCTAGCCATGTCCGTCTGTCCGTCTGTCCGTCCGTCTGTCCGTCCGTCTGTCCGTCTGTCCGTCTGTCCGTCTGTCCGTCTGTCCGTCCGTTTCTACGCAAACTAGTCCCTCAGTTTTAAAGCTATCTGCTTGAAACTTTCCCAAAAGTTGTCTTTCTATTGCAGGTAGTATATAAGTCGGAACGAGCCGGATCGGGACACTATATCATATAGCTGCCATATAACTGAACGATCGGAAATGCCATATCTTTGGTGTTTTTAAAGTTAGGAAGTTGGGATTTTCTATGGGTTTTATTTTTGGCTAATAAATCCGACCTCCCAAATTTCATAAGGATCGGACGACTATATCCTATAGCTGCCATATAACTGATTGATCGGAAATGCCATAACATTGGTGTTTGTAAAGTTAGGAGGCTGGGATCTTCTATGGATTTTATATTTGGTTAATCAATCCGACCTACCAAATTTCATAAGGATCGGCCGACTATATCTTATAGCTGCCATATAACTGATTGATCGGAAATGCCATAACATTGGTGTTTGTAAAGTTAGGAGGCTGGGATCTTCTATGGATTTTATATTTGGTTAATCAATCCGACCTACCAAATTTCATAAGGATCGGCCGACTATATCTTATAGCTGCCATATAACTGAACGATTGGAAATGACATAACTTTGTTGTTTTTAAAGTTAGGAAGTTGGGACTTTTTTTAAGTATTAAGAATGCATCATATGAATAATTTTGGAGAATATAATTTATAGAATATTCTGCAAGGGTATATCAACTTCGGCTCCGCCCGAAGTTAGCTTTCCTTTCTTGTTAAAACATTGATTTCAATTCCTACATCCAAATCACCTGGTCGATTTTCAATATATTTATTTTTATTTGTGTAAAAGGGCGCCAAAATGACAGCAGTGTGGCTGGCATGCCATTGTTGTGACTCCCGGCTTTTGTTGCTCTTGTTGTTTTTGCTGGTGACATAAATCCATATTTTGTTCAGCAAATTTCACGATTGGCCAACATCGTAGGTGGTGAGCCAGGGAAATTGCTAAAAATTTCCAATTAACTTTAAAGTTCAAGGAGTGGCAAAGAAATGCTTTCCGTGGTGAATGACAATGACACCGTCGTGTGCCGTGCAGCATAAATCCCATTTGAAGATGACAAAATATTCTGGGAATTTCGCTGCGCTTTCTCCGTCTCCGTCTCCCTCTAACCTCTACCCATCTCGCTTGCTCCTTGCGGTGCCATCTCTGTCTCGCCTTGTGTCCATCATTCTTCATTTAGTGACCCGACACGAGCGTAGGATGTCAGCAGCTGTTGGCCCTGGCTCTAGCATCATCATCAGCATCGATGTGGCTCCATTTTCAGCACCTTACCGCCCACTTTCAAGAGGATGCGGGCAGTGGGAGGTGGGTTGTGGGTGGTATGACGGCTGTGATGTCATAGGAAAAGGGACGGGGATAGCTGGATGTGTGCAACGCATGCGGAAAACAAACAATACGCGACAGGCGGACAAACAAACATCCAACTGACAGCCACGGAGACAGATGAATGGTGATGCAGAAGGTTATAGAGGGGCTGCTGGAGAAAAGGGGGGTGCAGAAAGAGGGTGGTGCAGAAAGGGGGTGGTGCAAAGCAGCACTAGCCCGTCGCACGAAGTCAACAGTCAAACGGAGCTTGCGGTCCCAGGACATTGCACCCTGCGGTATTTGCTCTCCATTTTTCGCCCTTAAAGTGTTGCCTACATTGCAGCTGAAAGAAATATAGTCGGAGGTAAACAAAGCTGAGAAAGGTAAATATATATATAAAATATCACACTTTTAAATAGTAAATAAAATATTATCCGCATTTATGTAGGCAAAAAAAGGGGGATATACAAGGGGATGAAAGTTACTTACGTTTTATGAAAAATGTTATTTACAGACTAGTAGATACCAAAAATATTTGTATTTTGAAGATAAATTTACTGGGCTTTTGAGAATAATTATTTTTGGCAAAATCCTTTAACGACTGCTCTTTAACTATAATTACAATACCTCTCTTTGTACATAAAAATACCACCGCTGGCCGTAAAGAATAAACTTTGAGCGACTGCAACAATTTAAATCCGACACATCATCCCGGTCAGCTTTTGCTGGGCTGCCTCCTCTAATTACTTAATTACGTGCTCCACCATCGCTGGGAAACCCGATGTTGTAAAGGGGCAGGTCGGGGGATTCCGGATGGGGGATTGCAGGCCGGACAGCAGAGAAGCCAGCAGGAGCCACCGAAAAAGCCGCACTGGTTACACCTGTGGCCAGACTAATCTATCATGTGCCATAAAGCGCTAAACGGGAGCTGGCTGCAACAGGAGAGCAGTAGGAGCTGTCTCTTTAGTCGCCCGTCATTCTCGGCCATTTTCATCCTGTTTTTCCCGTTTTTCCTGCTTTCCCCGCTTTCCTCCTTTTTGCCGTGTTGATAAGCCGCATTGTGTCCGGTGAGTTGCGCACGCGGCTTTTGCGGCCGAGTGGACGGTGCAGCGGTAGAAATGTTTATGGCTCCGCGGGGAGCTCGGGCTCAGTGTTCGCCTGCGTGTTAGGTGTATCTTTGAGTATGATAATGCACGGAAAAAATAAACAAGTATTTATTAAAACACCTAAACTTTCAGTTAGTTCTTTCTTGGGGCCAAAATATTCTAATAATGCAGTCAGACCTAAAAGCTTATGAATAACACTATAAAAAGTACAAGATATATTAAAAATAAAAATAATACTGAGTGGGGTGGTTAGGGTTGATAAAATAAATAAAATTGTTCTTATGTTATAAAAATTGTAATACATTAAAGCCATTAATATTTGGATAAATAATTAAATAAGACACTTAAAAACTTAAAATTTTTCTCTGGGTGTACTTGTGTTTCTGATTGTACGAATAGGTGTGGCAGTGTGCGTGTCAGTATGTGGGTGTGACTGCCGTGGCGCAGTTGTTTTTGGCCAAACGAGTTGGCCATGCTGATCCCCAACGAAGCGTCTAAAAGCCTTTTGTGCCTTCTGTCCGTGCAATGATGAACAGTGGAAGCTAAAGGCCGTAAGATGTTGAACAACGGAGCTGCGCTGCCTTTTTTTCATTTTTTCTACTTGGTTTCTAAATTTCAATCATTTTGTAATCACATATCCTGTACTCTTATTTTTTTTTTGATTTACAAACAGAATTTTGGATATGCTCAATTTATTATTGACGTTGCTAAAAAATGTTAAATGTGAAAATATATTTAGTAGTATTTATTTTTTTATATTTTTATAATCTCTGTAACACAAACGTTTATTACCATTTAGCTTGCGGCTTAAAAGCAGGCAATGAAATATGCTGAATTTGGATTTGGCATGAAAAACCACTGCATACTTTTGGGCGCAACAATGTTTCACTCTGATAAAAAGGGGGAGGAAAAACTTTTTAATAAACTATTTTGCTGCGTCGACAGCTGGAACTTTCTTTCTTGGTGACTTGCCAGCAGCCGAAAATTTCTCTTTATACACATATACGCAGATAAATATCTGATTTCTTTTCTGGGGTACAGAATGAAATTGTCAACATAATTCGCAGTGAGCCATGAATTTTTTGCTGCCGACACACAAAAACAAATTACAAAACGAAAAAATTGTTCAACTGAAAGGAGAAATTCCCATAACCTTTCTGTGTGCAAAAACAAAATAAAATTTGTTGTAAGCGTCAATAATGCAAATTGATAAGGCAGGGGGGTAAATTTCTATGGGCAAGGCTCACAAAAACCAATTGGTAAAATGGCTGCCGGGTAAAATATTAACAGCAAAAAAGGGAAACATGATTTTTACAAGATAATTTCAAAGCAGAAAGCAAAGGTAGAAAATGGCTCGACCAGCAGCAAAAACAATGAAATTGTTGGGAATAATTGAAAAACAAAAAGGAGGAATATTAGATCGCCTTTAAAATACTCTTTCTTTTGAAATAATAATACTCGATTTCATTAATACCATTAGTGTAAATTAAACTATTATCAATTTCTGGCAAAATACTAAATCCTTATTTTCATTGCTTAGATTTTCATTGTTAAATTAAAAAAAAACACAAATAAATTTAAATTTATTTAGTTTTATTAAACTTAAACTTTAGAAACACATTCTTAATACCTTTAGTAAAGGTATTTAAATTTTGATCGTCACATGTATCCGATGAACCGAAACAAAAAGTAAAAAAGGGAACAAAGAAAACAATGGAATCCCAGAAAAATACGTGAAAAAGAAAGATACCACAAAAGATGTAGGTGCCTTGATTAATTTAAAATCAACAAAAACATAAATATACTTTATATTTCCTATTTAAATTTCGTTTTGTGCACAATAAAATTTTTGTTGCCCACAAAACTGGTTGAGGGGAAGGTTTCCTTCTCTTCTGGCGGCCAGGCTTCAAATCAAAACGCAACAAATATCGGGGGTCCTGGAATCATATATTGCCCGCTGCCTGTGAAGCTGTGGAAGCCAGTTCCATGTGATAGGGTACGAAAGCCTTTAGGGTTCGGGCAGCCGCCGATGGAAGGGTTTCCCTGGCCCTCAACTGCTGCTGATGCTGCAATATATGCTGCTGATGATGCAGAGGCATTCCCGCCGTGATCCGATGTTGATCGCTGAAGAAAGGATGCTTCAAGGCCTCCTCGGCGGTGATGCGCTTCTGGGGATTCACCTCCAGCAGACGGGTCAACAGATCATAGGCGTTGGCGGGAAATACATCCAGCCCATCGTACATTTCCAAGTGATGGCCACTGTTGTGGCACAGGCAATTAAACGTGGGCTGCTCGCAACTGCGGCACATCTCGGTGGTGCCATCGGGCCTTCGATATTTTCGGTGTATTTCGGGGGCCAGGAAAAAGTCAGCATGACGAAACCTCATGCACACTCTCCGCAAATCCAAGGTGTTTACTTTTTGGGCAAGCAACACTAGTCGATCCAACATGAAGGCCGTCTTTCGCACTGGTATATCGCCAAACAAATTGATTATTTCCGCCAAAGCAGCGCAATCGTGAGGGGCCTTGAAAAATGGGTGTAAGGCCGAGAGCAACGAGAGCATTATAACACCAGCGGCCCACACATCCACCGCCGTGGATTGATGGGGATATCGGAGCAGGACCTCTGGCGGTCTATATCCTGGAGTTCCGGCCCGAGAGGCGTGCATTTCCTTTTTCGCGGTGTTCGTGGAAATCACATAGTTATTGGGATCCACATTGGGCCCGACGAGTCTCAGGCGATTGAGCAACCTCACGGTGTCAGCCTTTTGATTGGCCACATCCTTTTTGGTCAAATGCCCACCAGCTTGCTCCCTAAATCGATGGATATTTGGAGGTCCTGCCAGGGCATGTTCCACTCCGCCGCCGCCACCCAAAGCCCGCATCCTGCGACTGGCCATATACTCCTCGGCTTCGGCCTGGGCAGAATTACCATCTGGCAGCATTAGCTTCCTACCTTTTTCCATGTCCCTTAGAAAACTAAAGGCTTCCGGGGAACTGAGTTCATTACTCTGAAGAACACTACCATCAGCGGCGATCCTTTGGGCCAAACCGAAATCGCAGAGTAAAAATTTTCCTGTTCGACGATTATATAGAATATTACTCGGCTTTACATCCCGGTGAATTACATTGAACTTGTGCACATGTCGAAGGGCGATGAGCAAGTTCCTCAAATAATCCCGAATCTCTTGGAGACTCAGGCTCCTGTAAATGTCATGAAATCGATCGTGCGTCATATAGGGCATCACAAAGGCCACATTATCATTGTACCTTATGCAACAATTAATGCCGATGACATTGTCCACTCCGCCAATGCGAAACATGCACTCCAATTCCCTGAGAATTCTCTCCGGGTGATTTGTGGGATTATGATGTTTGATGGCGAATCGTCGCCTCTGGGTTTCGACGTAGCATCGTTCTCGCTGCAGGGTTCCCAAAAGAACCGAACTGAAGGTTCCACTACCAATGCGACAATGCACATCGAAGATTTTGCTTATCTCCGGAATGCTCTCCTGCAGTTCCTTCAAGGCCTCTTCGTTTTTGTCGACGGATTGCATATTTTTTGTCTGCATGGCAGACAATTCTTTGATGGCGTTGCGACGATTGATTTTGGCCAGTTTTTCCGAGAGATCTACAGTGGTTTTGGGCACCTGTTGGGTCAGGACTTGCTGTTGCTGTTGCTGATAATGAAGCCCTGGAAGGGAGGGCTGAGTACCAGAGGCCATTACGGTTTGCCTGTCATTACAATACCGATTCATAAATGCAAGCTCACGATCCCCTGGATTTAGTTGCTTGTTCGAATGGTGATTTCTGTGATAGTTGGTTGAGGAACTCTTCCTTGCCGACTCTGTGATCGGAATAGCACCGCTCATATTAATCGACGGTTTTTCCTGGACCCCCATCCTAATGGCATAAAGAGATTTAGTTGGCGTCTGCTGAACATGATGATGATGCGTCTCCTTCTTGTCCATTTTATCAATTAGAATTTTGGTAAACATTTGCGCCACCCATTAACAGTCCAGGGTCTTAACAAACGGGACACAAATGTTTTCCTTTTGATAACCAAGAACTTCCAATCCCGCTATTCGTGTTAAAATTTTTTTTTTTTGATTTTTGACTTTGATGTTTAGTCCTGTTTTCGGGGTTATAGCGCTATAAATGGCGCGCTAAACCGCGATGTAAACACAATAATTTCGAATGTATTCGGGGGGTTTTTGTGTTCGAATTTTGTGCTATAAAAATGACGAGTTACTAAATGGAAAAAACTATGTACTTGTGTCTCTAATCATATTTCGACAACTAAAGCAAAGCCTTTGAGTTTTGGGAAGAGTTAAACAAGTTTCATAGGTAATATTTCTATATTTTTAGGACAAAAATATAAATAATGAACATGAATATAAATGGAAAAATTATATTGGCTACAGTTAGGGAACTTTGGTAACTTTAAAGTGTTTTTTAAATTGTTCAAGTCTCGCCAACTCTACTGTAACTTTAAGTAAAGTACATATTGTTCATCACTCCTCTTTTCAGCGTTCCTAGTCTCATATATTCATGGCAACAGACTCTCTTACTAGCTATTCATATTTCGCCAATGCCACCACTCCATTTGTCTTGGTTTATACGGAAAAAGTTCCTGGGAAATCTATACCAGATGTTGCCTTTGTTGAGTTTGATTGCCTGTACGGTGTCGCCACCTAGCGGCGACTATTTCATGCTGTTGTTGTTGTTGTTTTGGTCCATGCAATTTACCGTTACAGGACTCGACCCTAAAAATGTCCACCCCCTTCAGTGTAAATTTCACCCACCCAAAAAAGACGGTGTCAACATCAGCTGCCTGTCCACTTGTTTTTCACTTGATGCTCGAAGTTTTCCCGCGGCAACAGCTGACATTGTGGGCGTAACTAAACTACCTCTAAATCCCCGCCCACTTTTTAGCACTACCAGTTTTATCCCAAAACCCTCTCCCACCTTTTTTACCTGTAACTCACTCCATTTTTATTAAAAAAGTAGAGCTTTTCTCGGGCCATTTATTAGTTTGCGCTACCGGAAGAAAAGTTTGCCCAATGAATATATTAACATCGTTTCGAAACAATTGACAAAAGTTAATGCAGACAAAAGTATTTTATTCCTTTAATATATATTCTTTATTTTTTCATAAAAAACTTAAACATATATGTGTAATTTATTTTTTATTTTAAACCTCAAATTGCAAATACGAAGCTTCACAAGTATAGCTTAAAGATAGCATAATTTTAAAAATATAGATTGTTTTTAGAGTGTCTTTGAACAATTCAACTGTCATTTGACATTCTTGTTCAATCCTATTAACATCATTGTTTTGTGTGACAGAATCATAAATTTAAAATTTTCCGGTTCTAATGGTTCGATCTATAAATAGCTCAAATTTAACTGGATTTATTCAATCTAAGTAAGTATCTCAAGATCCAAACATTATGAGCCTTGCAATATTCTGTAACATTTGCCGTAAGATATTGAAAACTGGTTTAAAAGTAACTAAAATAATGATAATTTTTATTTTTCTTAGTACTGATCATTATGCAGACGACGACAAGGAAGCCACTATGCCCTCCACATTCCAAGCACCCCTGTACCTAACTTAAGGAACAGGACACTACGGTCTTGGAATGCTATATGTATATATACTTCTAAACATGGAGAACACATTACTTTTGGTCTTGCCTTTAAAACATTGGTTGCCAAAATTATCTATGATTAAAAAAATTGATTAAGAAACGTATATTTTTTAAAAACTACCGCAGACAATATAAAATATATAACTTGATTCTGACTGATTTGGGATTGTTTTGTTAACATAGAACATGGCTGGAGACTGGTTTAACTAAGAACACATCCAAAATAACATCTCAAAGTGCAATTTACATTTTTTTTCACTGTGCATTGATTGCTGATTAAATTTGTATAAATCAATTGTGGCGCTGGCAGCTAAAATTGCCTCTTTAGAAAGTAATTTGGTAGTCGAAAATATAAATGGGAATTGAATGTGTTTACTCATTACGAAAGTTTCTGGAATAGGAAAAGGTACTACGCTCGAACTAATTGCCCAACAAGGCAAACTGGTTAACTGGCATTTGAGAGCAGGAATTACAATTACCCAATGCTTTCCTTGGCGCTGTTTTCCTTTGGATTTCCCTCGCTCTTCGGCCCACGCTTTTCCGGCCCCAGAACCAACTGTTTATTCATTGCCGGCAGTCAAGTGCAACTAGCCTTTTCGAAGTTTGTGCAAAACTATTGTCAATTGTGCTCGGGCCCAAAGAGAGTTGCTCCCGGGAATTCTCGAATGGCCAAAACACAATGCAGAACAACACTTGGCTGCTTCCCCTTCCGCCCGCCGAAGGATGTGGAGGGGGTGTGAATCCCATCGCCAACCGACAACAACTTCTTCATCAGGCGAAACTCCCTTTGACCGAATTTCCTTGGCGCCTTCCGCCGAGGCAAGCGCCAAACGGAAACTTTTCCAGCCAAGTCAGTTGGGATTAGCCTTGATGGCTAAGAGGAGCAGAGTGCGAAAGACTTTGGCGGGATCCAGGTTAGACACTCGTTCCGGTGGCAAACTGCAAATTAAGCTCGACAAAACGATTTGCTTAGATTGCCGTGTACAAATAGGTTTCGGTATTTCGGTTGTTGCAAATGCCAAGGTAATGAGACTGTTATAAGCGAAATCGCTTGGAGACCGTCAAAAAAAAATTACCTATTTCTTATAACATTTTGAGATAAGCAAAGATTATATAATTTTCTTAACTAAATTGAATATAGTTATTGTTATTTTAATAAAAAAAAATAATAAACAAGTGATAATAACTTTACTTATATTGTTCGTTTTCGATTAAATAATTATGCATTATAGGCTTATTGGTATAGTATTTCTCTATACAAATTTTTGATATGTTTATATATTCTACTCATTTACTCGCATGCTTATCAATTCTTATTAATATCTTCTTTTATTAATATTAAAGTAATGTCAATGCCTAACCAGTAATTAAATGTTGTTTCTATCTAATGAGTTTATTTCCATACTTAACAGTTGTTTTTGACTTTCTCAACTAATCAACAAAGAACCACAAAAATCTAGAGATCTCTTGAATATTTAAGGCTTTCTCTTCGCCATATGAGGTAACTTGTACCTGCTGCTGCTTTGTGTGATGGCCAGTCATATTTCACTTGACCAACTATCCAATTTCGACTGCCACCCATCTAAGCAATTGCCCGACTGTATCACTCGCCTCCTCTTCAATGAAGACCCTTCACTTAGAAAAATATTTTCGCACAATAAAATTTTTGTGGTTAACATACATTGAAAGCAACTAAATATTGTAATATGTTTTTATAATCGAAGAAATAAATAGTTTTTGCAGCAGAACGGGTTTCATGTTCAAAGCAAGAGAACTAAGTCTTTCAAGTAACTTATATTTGATTCCTACTAAAAAAAAGTCCTAGCTTCGTTTAAACATTAACTAAAAACGGTTATGGAAAAAAATGCATAAAAAAGACAAAATTGTAACGGCATTTATTTGTTTAGTTATACCAGATGTAAACAACTTAACGGATTGCACTTCGGAGGTTTAGTTGCTGCCGCTGCCAGCATTGTGATCACTAGAAGACAAAAATTAATGTTCAAAATTCGTAAGCACTTAATTAATTCACCAAAATTTACCAATAATGTTGAAAATGCTTTCAACACTCATACCGCTTGGCCGTTGAAAACTACTTTGAGATTAAATTCTTGCGTAATGGTTCAGGGTTTTAAAAGGTTCTCAAAATTAGTGCTGGTAAATTGATATTGTAGAACAAATATTTTTCGTTTCATCTATTAAAAGTATTTCTAAGTTAACATGCTATTAGGCAATAAAAAATGCAAATCAGTATTTTATATATTTTATTTTTGGGGAAGAAAATATTAAATTTGTTTTTTGAAATAGAAAAAGGAATAACATCATATTAATATCTTGCAAAATATTATAAAAATATATTAGTTTTATAATGCAAGTATATTTCAGATATTTCAACCCATCTGTTAATTAATTTGAGAAATACAATATATTTAATTTTTTGTCACTTAACATAAATACCTTTTCTTAGTGCATCCTCACGCCTTTATCCTCGCAGTCGGATCCTTTGTCTTGCAGTTTCGACCAAACAATTTCGCTTACCTCACTCGCAACACGTTGCGGTTTGCAGAGGCGTGCCGTGGGTGATTTTGGAGAGGGGGTTGATGGGGTTGGTTTAGGCACTCGAAATCTTGTTTGGGCCAAACTCCCGTCGCGTTGCTTGTTGATTGTTTTGCCATTTTGCGGTTGCAATTGATGGCACAGGTGGTGGAGAATGTAGTCGGGCTTCGCAAATGACCGCAGTGGTGCTGAAAACAGGGAACGGGGAGCGGAAATTTGGAGGGGCTAAATTCAGAACTGAGCCAGTCTTAAAGCCTACAGAAGTCTCGTTTTGGCAACGGACGGCAGCTGGTTATTCTCCTAACCAAAAGGTAAACCCATGGAAAATGGCCAACGGCCAATGACCAAGGCACTTCTTTGGCTTTCGTTTGGACCACGTGTCCGGTTCTTTTTGGTCCTACTCCCCTTTGTTAGTCTTTGTCATTGCTAATGCTTCAGTCGAGTTAATACCCTTGATTTAGTTGGTATATTCGAAATTTAAAACTTAAAACATTCTAATTCTTATTTAAACCATTTATTTAATATTTCTATCCATGTTTTTAAGCAAAGTACAAATTAATATTTATTCTAATTTCGAACTAACTCCTAACAAAACTATATTTCTAACTATTTTTAGATGTTTTCGAATGTATATATATTTACAAAAGGGTATATAACTTTTGCTTCCCTTCAAAACAACCCAAAAAACTAACTGTTCTTTCCTGTATCTTTTGTTTGGCTGTTGTTACCGAGTCTCAGCCTGAGGTAAGCCGAAGTGCAATTTAATTTCCCCGCCGATGATTGATGCTACCATGTGGAGGCTTCACTCTTCAGTGTCCATTCCTTACCCCCACTCCATGCCACAAGGATAATGCCGCACAAATAGCTAACAAATTTTGCCTGCCAACACAGCGAGGACAACGGAGAGAAAACCACAAAAAGCTGCAAAGGGAAACTTTTTATCGTCGGCCAGGTTAACTTTTAAGCAGGCCAACGAGGACTCCCAATTCGAGAAGAGCGCAGGACATTTGCCAGAGATAAACAGATTTATTGTGCTTAAGGACGCACATTAAACGGGGCAGAGGGACTCAGTCTGAGAGCCGAAAGACCAAGTACAAGGACAGCGATAAGGACTGCGGAACTGCCAGGACTGTTTATAGATTTTCGGTGTCCCCAATTAGCGCAAGGGAGAATCGGTGAAAACGGGGAAAAGCGACGGAAATTAGGCGAATAAAAGGAGCACGGCGACAGTGCAGAATCCCCTTGAATCCCTCCCCAATTCTCGTTTCTGGAAAATAGGAATGTAGCTATAACACGGGAAAAAATAGTTTTTGAGCACAGTGGCCTTACATTAAAACCTTTAAATAGCTTACCATTTTTTCTTGAAATAATTAAAGAATATTTTGCTTAATAAACTACCAATAGGATAAAGAAGATGACAATACTGTTCTATGAGATATAGTGAATAATATTAAATTAAATTCTCTGATGTTTATTAGCTTATGTTATTTTCAGTGCATCCTTGAGCGACTCCTTGAAGCTCGAACTGCAACTTTTTGCTCTCCTCCTGTCGCCAAGTTGTGACAGTTGGCAAAGGATAAGCGCAGGCTGCGGGACAAAATTAACCACAAATGGGGACAGTGCCGAGAAATGTGTAACTTTCGCCCATCGAAATCGCAAGCAGGTGAAAAGGATGTCGCGGCTTTGTTGCGCTTGGTTGGCCAAGGATTTTAGTGGCTTCCTGGACAGCCACTTGCGGAGAACTGCGGCCACAAATGAGCTTAGTTGATGTTTCCCCTCGTGCTCATTTTCCTTCTCCCGGATTTTATCCAGCCCCGTTTATGCGATGAGTCTGGAGGTGTTTTGGAGCTTAACAAAATGTCCTGATTGCTAATGTTTGGGTTCTTATTGAATTAACTTCAGGTGGTGTCAAACTTAAGCTGGTTTTTGTGGAAGAAATGGATGTACAAATCTCAGTTACGGTTAGTGGGAAAAGTATTTAAAAAGGATATATTTCGACTGTGAGTTTGTAATTTTCATTCAGGTTTTTTTTTAATTTTTATTTATTATTTAGATTTTTTATGTTTTTATACGATTTGGATTTGGTACAATTTAATTGTTTAAGGTCGGTTATGCCAATAATAAGCTGGTTGTGGCCCAATCCAAAGCTAAGACCGTATTTCCCTTCTTAAACCCAGCTTCTACTGCACTTTTAATTCGTTTCTTCAGCTCGGTATAAACCCATCGTTAACTGCATTTTCATGGGCGCCCTTTCTCCCACTTCCTGCAACCTTCAGGCCACCTTTGGAGCCAACTAATAGCCGCAACGATGGCGACTTTGTCACACTTCAATGAGCCACAACAGCAATAAAAACAAATAACAGCTGAAAAGTTGTCAAGGAAAAGAAGGGAGGGTGGAGAAAATCCAAGAGTGAACTGCAATTTCCACACCAAATCGAAGTTGCTGCTGTTGCCGGTGGCATTGCTTTTAAGCTTAGTTAAGAAGCACTTTGAAGAGCTTTTCCCAAAGCTGCACCAATGTCCTTGCCTTCGGTTTTCCCACCTCCTGTGGAAAATTGTTGCTTCATTGCATTTTATGCTTGTTCAAGTTGTCGTCGGAAATTGCTTATTTATTTGAACTGCTCGCTTGGCCAACAAAACCAAACTAAAGAAGGAAAAAAGGAAATCAAACATCTAATGGCATAATTCCCGGCCTGTCTCACTCGAACTTGATGAGTTTCCCTGCCCGACACACTGGGGCAATAAATTTTCCCTGGAAATGGCTCTGTTTTTCCACTGCACCGACTGACTGACAACTTGTCGTTTGTTACTACAAAATTCAATGAATATTTTCTTGGCTACCGACCAAACGAGAACACAGATAGATGGGGATACCATTTTATTGACTGCATTTTCCACATGAGATTCGGAGTTTTCCCCCTGGGCCACAAGTGAAAGTGGCTGCATATTTTTTGCATGGATTGCTGCAGGTACTATAAATTTTCCAAACTTGTCAACTGGTTTTCTTCTTCGAAAATTCATTCAATTTTCTGCCCTTAAATTCTTAATTGCAGGGCGGAAGAGGGTCGGTGAAAATTGTTTACACAAATATCAATAACAATAAATTGTAGATTTATTGGAGGTTGGAGCGCAGCGAAAGGAGGCAAACATAAAATACAAATTAATATATTTTCAAGAACGAAAAACAATTTGCCTCCAAAGAAAATTTTCGGAAGCCCAGAGCTCCACAACAATTTGTCTTGCTTAATCTCAGTTCATTAATTTAAAGTGCTACTTGCAGAAGAGCCTAGAAATACTCAATGGAGTTGGTCAAGGAATTTTCCCCTCGCCCTGAAAATTGTCAAAACATCTTTCTGGCCAAATTTGTGGTTTGGTTTTCTTTCGGGCGAAATTTTACGGGCCGCACAAAGTTTCTCACACAAAATTTTGTTCCATTTGACTAAGCATTTTGCAATCATTGGCAGCAGCCGTTTTGAGGATTAGGGTCAACTGGCTGTTGTTCTGTCTTTAATAATTCATGAGCCATCTCTGTGGCTGACCTTCTCAATTTTTGGGGTCAATTTATTCTGGCCCTAGAAGCCGAGCCATTATTCCCCAAGTCATCCATCAGCCAAAGTCGTCCAAGAGCTGATTACCAGACAGACTGCAAGTCGAGCCCATAATTCTGTGTAGGTGTGGCATTTGTCAAGGGCTTACTCTGATTTGATGTCATGGACAAAGGACAAGTGGGAAAGAAAATTTAGGTGGGGAGAATATATTTCGTATATTTAATTATTGTAGTTCAGAATAAGCTTGAGATTATACTTTTTAAAATACTTTTAATTGTAGTCTTGTAGACAGTGAAACTATTTAAGTATAGACTATTTTTTCGTCGAAAATTAGTAAAACGCATTTCACACATATTATGCCATTTGATGTAGATATAGTATAGATATGACTCCTGGAACTAGGATATAAGATACATCAATTATACGACCTAGATTCTAATAAAATAGCATTTAAATTATACAATTTTTTGCTGATAAATATTAAAGATTTTTCATACTGAATCTTAAGCGCGAAAAGAAAACGTTATCCTTTCGCCCCTCTCATCTTTTTATAGCCATCTTAATTTCATCAAATTAAATTGGCTTCGCCGACAGCTTGGTTTTTGATCTCCGGGCACCTGCCACGCCCGTTGCCACGCCCACACACCTGGCGCGCCCCCAGCAAACAATCAACTAGAGCAACACGCACACACACATTGAAACACATACCACCACACACACAAGCACAAGCGAACGCACACAAGTGCGCTCCAATGATTCAGACTCCGGTGTCGGCTACTTTGCAGCTGCCAACGCCTTCTACATTTCACGCTGTAAGACACCCCACAAAATCTACACTGAAAAACAAATATCGTATTGGCAAAAAATAATGCAAATATTTTAAATAAATTAACTTAAATTATCTTTATAAACCTTTAAAAGTAATGGTATGAAATGCTTGCTAACATACCTAGTTAACACATAACACTCAAAAATCTACTTTCATGTAACTTTCCTCACGGAAAATCTAAGAAAAGTTAAGCATATCTAATTAGTGTATAGTTAAAAAAACAAGAGTTTTAATGTGTTATCTTTCTGACAGCGCTGCATGTTCAAAATAAAATTTATGTTTTACTGTCGATTAATGTTATTTAATGTTAAAACATTTTTATTTTCGACAAAGAGCTAATTATTTGTTGTGTAATTTGCTTTCTATTATTCCCGCCCCGCTTTTCTAACTGCCATCACCTGCAGACGACCCCGGGTAACATTTTTTATGCGTCCTATTTGCAGCTTTCATGCTTCGACTGTGTATTCCAGCCGCCGGCATTTCAACGACGTCGCGAATGCAATTTTTCTCTAAAAAAATATTGTTTGGGTGGGTAGAAAGGGTTTGGGCTCACAGGTTACTGGGTGTTCATCGCACCTTTTTAAAGAGAATAACCAAAAAAAAGTCCCGAGTGGAAGTTTAAGCAGAACGCAAAGCGCTGAAAACAAAATAAGATTTAGTTTTATAAGGTACAATATTTTCAAAAATAAGTAATAGCAAATTATATATAAATAATTTACACCAACACAATATTAGATATGAAAGCCCAATATTTTGTTGGTGTAAGCCCAATATTTTGTTGGTGTAAACAATTAGTTTTATTATCAATAAAATCTTTTGAAACCATATAATGGGTCCTGGATTTTAGAGATGTTTATTTAAAATTGTTTAATCAAATTTAAGTTTATGTATATATGGCTTTTGTGTGCACAGAGAAAAAGGAAGAAAAAATGCTTTTGAGAAAATGGTATAGCTTAGAATGAGCGGAAAATAGGAGGAAGCTGAGCAAAGACTCAAAACGAAAAAAGCTGTGCACTCGTATGCAAACAAATGCAACTAAACATGCATACCTTTTTCATGAGTGTGGGTCGGTGTACACTCGAATGTGGGTGTGTGTGTCTATTTGTAAAGTTTCCTTTCCCAAACGCAAGCATTTGTTGGTTTCACTCCTTTTTTAACCACTTTTTGCTTTTACTAAACTCCAGGAGGTGATTCATTCATACTCTTTCTAAACAGTTTATCCTTAGCTTGGCTAAAAATTTAAAATTGCGCAAAGAGTAGTAGGTTTTTAATTTAATTTTGATTAGTTTCGAAAAGAAAAATCCAATGATTATTGCCAAAAAAAGATAGATTTCTAAAAATGTATTTTAATTTTTAAAATAGCAATTCCAAAACACTTCTTTAAAGTATGCTCAAACCAATAAGACAAACATTTAAGATGTAAAAAATTAATTATGAACGAATAACTTTTCTTTAAGAAGAAAAATTAAAATTATATATATTTTTCTAAAGTTGCAGTAAGTTATGTCTGATTTATAGATATCATTATTGTCAAGTTCACAATTTAATTGTTTTAAAACTTAAAGTTATTATCTTTATAAATAGTATTTTTAGGCACTCTAAGAGTATTTGCTTTCATTCAAAACTCTCCGCCATATCTTTGATTTTTTTTGTTTCACGCTGCGTCGCCGACCGTTAAAAAAAAATGAAAGCCCTCGACTCGCCAGTTTGCCCATTTCAGGGCCACGCCCACTGCCACTCCTACCGCCCACCATTGGCAGCAGCAGCAGCAACGGCAGCATAAATTTCCATTACCGTTGACAAATATTTACACATCGACCTCAATTCATATTCCTTTTGATGCTGTTGCTTTTAGTTTTGCCAGGCGGATGGGATGATGGGATGCGGGCGGTATGGGATTGCAAGGGGGGCGGGACTTTTTTGCAATGCCGAGCAATTGCTGCTGGCTATTAAAAGCTGCATTTAGCACTATGCGCTCACACTATGTCTTTCTAAACGCCATATGGGTATGCACTGGAAAGAAAATCATCCAATAGTTTTTTTAAATTACGAAAAAGTATTTAAGACAAACCAATTCAGTTTTAGATACATTAATTAAAGCACATTTCAAAACTTTTCGGAAATCGTTTGTTGTTAAATGGTTTTAAAATGTATTTGTAGAATTTACTTATCATTAGTGCCCTATCCAAATTTTAAAAGTATGATAAATCAAATTATATTAATTATAAATTATAGACATTAATTATAAAAGATATTTCTTCAAAATGTTGTTTTAATTTTCCAAATGAAATTAAAATAAAAATAAGCCTTTTCATATATTTCTTCTAATTTTGCCTATTTTCAAAGAGCAGGCTTATTGTTTAACTTTCATAGATCCACACAGACTGTACAACAGACAAACATTCATGAATCAGTCGAACGATTTGAATCGGAAAACCATCGAAAAAATGTTCCAAATCATTTGTTACATTTGGCTGCTGGTCCTGCTGAAGGACTTGGACTTTTCCAGTGCCGAACCGCATAACAAACAGCTGACCATATTTGTCGAAGCTGGGCGTCAGGAGTGCTTTTATCAGCCGATTGCCAGCTCTGAGAATATAAAAATCGATTATCAGGTGATACACGGTGGTCTCGGTGAAATTCATATCAATTTTAACTTTATGGATCCCAGTCGACACCTTCTAATCAACGAAATAAAAGAGGAAAAGGGAAAACATATCTTGGTGGCAAATGAAACAGGATCACATAAGATTTGTTTCGATAATACCATTAGTTCTTTCAATCAAAAGATCGTATCCTTTACCCTGGAAGTAACTGCTGCGGACCGAGAGGAGCAAGAACTGCGAAACCTCCGCCGGGAAATGTTAACCGATTACCAATTTGACGTGGCCTACACCGGTATCGACAATTACATGGGAAAGATTCAGGTGAATCTCATGAGGTCCCGACAAACTCAGGATTTTATTCGAGCACTCGAGGCCAGAGATCGCAATGTGGCTGAATCCACTTATGCCATGGTTAACAATTGGTCGTGGGCTCAGTTTTTGTCAATGATATTTGTTGGCCTTCTACAGGTCTTGATGGTGAGAAGTATTTTCCACACAAACGGGACGTTCTATAAGTTTTGGAAATGCTTTTGAGCTGTCATCAAGAAAATCTATGGGAATATCCTTAAGTGGGTTAATATCATTTATTATCTATAAAGAATTTGGTTTAAATAGAATACCTCTTTTTTGGAAGTGCCGCAGAATATTTTAGCACTCTGTAGAATTTGATTATAATTTGTAAGAAAAATTATAAAAAATTAAAAAAAATAATGTTAGGGTTGCAAGTTATTAGTATCTACATTAGTATTATTATTATTTTATGTAATAAGAGACCATGAAAAATACAATGTGAGATAAGGAATCTTTGTTACTTAAGCTGACTAAGAGGTCTCTTCCTCATTTAGCTGCTCCTTGTGTCTGCTTCCTTCTAACGGCAATTTGCACTTCCTGTGCTTAATTTTTTCCTGCTTCTTGGGCTTGGCTTTACCATTTGCCACGCCCCTTTCTTTGTCCGCCCCTCGCTGCAGTGCATTGTTGGCGTAATTAACAACTGCGGCAACCGTTTGCCATTGTTTACTTAGCGCCAGCCAGCGTCGCAGTGTTAATTACTCCCCGGCGTCCCAGCGTCTCCTGAACCAGCCCGTCCCTTAACCCCCGTGTGCCCGCTGTACTCCCGGGGGCCCCACTGACACAGTGGCTCACTTAGCCTTCGAGGTGCATCCCTGTGTGACTTTTTGGGCGAGGCCGGCAGCGATGACAGCGCTCCCCGGTGCCGCTGAAAGGTGCAAATTAAAGCGCGCCACCTGTGGCCAGTCAAGTGCCCCAACAATGCAGGTACATAAGTGATTATACAAAAGGAAAGGGCCACAGAAAAATTGAGGTATTGAAAAGCTTTAAACAAAAGGGATAAAGGCTTGCGACTTCAAAATAAGATTTCAATCGGTCATGTTAAGAATGCGCTCTTGGCTTACTTTTCTGCTTTCTTTTCGTAATGAAAAAGGATCTTTAAAGCCTAACTTTAGGAATGGCCTATGAATAGTATCAGATTGAAATTTTATGATATACATATCAGCACAGAACATTAATATATTGATCTTTTAAAAATAATCTACCATAATCTACCTACAATAAATTAAAAACAAGAAAGGAAAGCTAACTTCGGGCGGAGCCGAAGTTGATATACCCTTGCAGAATACTCTGTAAATTATATTCTCCAAAATTATTCATATGATGCATTCTTGATACTCATAAAAAATCCCAACTTCCTAACTTTAAAAACACCAAAGTTATGGCATTTCCGATCAATCAGTTATATGGAGGCTATAAGATATAGTCGGCCGATCCTTATGAAATTTGGTAGGTCGGATTGATTGGCCAAATATAAAACCCATAGAAAATTCCAACTTCCTAACTTTACAAACACCAAAGTTATGGCATTTCCGATCAATCAGTTATATGGCAGCTATAGGATATAGTCGGCCGATCCTTATAAAATTTGGTACGTCAAATTGATTGGCCAAATACAAAACACATAGAAAATCCCAACTTCCTAACTTTACAAATACCAAAGTTGTGGCATTTCCGATCGTTCAGTTATATGGCAGCTATACTATATAGTCGGCCGATCCTTATAAAATTTGGTACGTAAAATTGATTGGCCAAATGTAAAACCCATAGAAAATCCCAACTTCCTAACTTTAAAAACACCAAAGTTATGGCATTTCCGATCGTTCAGTTATATGGCAGCTATAGGATATAGTCGGCCGATCCCGGCCGTTCCGACTTATATACTGCGTGCAAAGGAAAGAAGGGTGTGTGCAAAGTTTCAATTCGATAGCTTTAAAACTGAGAGACTAGTTTGCGTAGAAACAGACAGACGGACAGACGGACAGACAGACGGACAGACGGACAGACGGACATGGCTATATCAACTCAGGAGGTGATCCTGATCAAGAATATATATACTTTATATGGTCGGAGATGTCTCCTTCACTGCGTTGCACACTTTTGACCAAAATTATAATACCCTCTGCAAGGGTATAATAAATTAATTATTTCTGGTCAGAATCCTTAGATATAATTCCTCTTTTCAATGGCATTATGATACTAACGGTATCTATAATTAAATTTAAAGTTTCCATGCTAGCCTTTTTAATAAACTTATTCGTCAGGAATCACTTTAATTTTAATCCCCCTTTGAGGGTATTAAAAATGTCACTCCATCCATATTCACTTTGGCTTGCGGACCCGCCCAAACACGGGCACACACACGAACCGCTTAAGGACTTCATCGTAGTCCTTGTTCCTGTCATGCGAGGAATCCATCCAGGGAAATTTCCACCAAAAAAGAAGGACTTCACATGTATGCTTATTTCTTGGCAATTTAACGCGCTTTATGGGCAGCTCTACTTTACACTTAAGTGGCGGTTTAAGGGCCGAAAGGAAAACGCCGGAGGAGGGAGGGCAAACGATCGTTTATCAGTGCCAGAGGAAATGCAAAAGAAAAGCCGCTGTTAATTTCATTACACCGAATGCAAAGGCTGCACAATCGTAAAAAAAGACATTTAATTGCAGCTGCCAAACGATGCAAAGGCGTCGTTGGCCATTTTAACGATCAAATTATGGCCGAGAAGGAGTTGCCACCGCCCAAAAGAGAGAAGTCACAATTGCAGGCAGATATCCCCGGCAGATAATGTCCTGTCCATTTGTGCCATGGCGCCAGCTGTCATCGTCCTTCAGCACAAAAATCTCCTTTGGCGGCTTAATGAGAGGGGGAAAAACGGGGTGACAAATGTATTTAAAGTTTTCCCCACAACCTTTATCGCTGCATCTTCAACTGCCAGTATGGTAGTTAAACTTCAGTATAAGTAAAAGATTAGAGCTAAGTAATCGCCTTTAACACAGATCAAATTTATTTTGCACAAATTGAAAATTGAAATAAACCAAATCCAGCAGAGCAAGTGTTTTGTAATAACAAACGATGGGGTCTTTTGACAAAATATTAATGGAAAAGTCACACAAATGAAATTCAATAACATAGCATAAAGCACTGGAAAAAATAATATTATACAAATTTGTATTTTGCTTACAATAATATATTTTATAAAATATTCGTTCGTGAATTGCAAACTATAATACTTAAAAACCTCAAAGAAATATATTTAAAAATGAAAAAGTGCAAGTTCCTGTGAAATTTTCTCCATGTATCAGAAACTATAAGACAAACTATAACGATAACTAAATACAGGTTCCTTCACAGAGCGCTTCAGCTGAAAAGGGGATGGTATGGGACAGGAATAAATACATGAATATGTAAAGATAAGTCTTGGTTTTTGGAAAAGTTTGAATAGAACTGATGACAACAACAGAAAGCAAAACAACATATGTAGTTAGATTGGATTGTGGGGCTCTGTGGGAAATGGCATTGCAAAAACAAAAAGCTTTCACATGTATTTGGTTTATTTAAATTATCAAACCAAACCTTTTTTAGTTTGGCAGGTAATCAAAATCCTCCCCTTCCTTACTTTTAAGTGGACCATCATTAGCGTTTGTATACCATAACAAAGTAATTACTTTGTTTGTGCTTCGAATGTGGCATTCGAATAGGATTATGTCGGTTGCATTATCGACAAACAAAGGGAAACTGTTTGCGGTCGAAAGTCAATGAAAGAGGATTATGTATATACTGTTTAAGTTTCTCAAAGGCTTAGTTATGTGGAATTTAACTAAGGAAATTTACTGAAGAGATTCAGCAGCAAAGCCAAATGTTTGTAAGGCTAGACTGTTAACGAGTTAAGTAACCAGGTCGTTTGGATATATGTTTGTCTTAAATAAGAAAATCTTTTTGGCGAGTCGAGCCTCATAAATTTTTTACTTATTTTAAATAAGTTATTGGCATTTCAAAAACGTACAAATTAAGGCATAGTATTGAATATAAACATGCTAAAAATTAGTTACCTACTGTATTACAGGTTCATAATTTTATTGACATCATAATACTGCCTAAAATATACTTTAGTAGCTAATTTGTGATTCCATTTTATCACAAAAGCTTCGTTGTGTCTTTTTGGGTACGTTTTTCCCCACTCGACTTCTTAACCTTTCATCTTGAAAGCAATCCCATTAAGAATGCAAGTTGTGAGCACACAAGAAAAGGAACGGAGGACTCGTTCATTATGCATGACAACTGACATATCAAGACATATGGTAGTACCTTAACACCCGACTGCCCTGAATTTCCATCTTCGCCCTCACACACATATATTCTTTCATTTTAGGGGGCGTTTTAATTGCAAACTGGCACACCAGGAACCCATTCGCGTTGCCTTGGCAGTCGCCTCTAATATTGCCTTCCGACCATGGCCATTAGGGGCGGTCAAGTGGCCACCACGCCCCCCTTTTCCATAGCCACCCACCCGCCGACAATCAAGCGAACAAATTGGGTTACTGCTCAACTGTCTGGTTAATGGCTACAATGACACAATTAATTGCATGTTGGCGGCCATTTCCAGCACTCGAGACCCTCAGCTGCCGCCTCTGCCAACGTGAATTGAGTTTTGTGCAAAAATTTAATATGCGGGAAATGCTAAAAATAAATTACTAATTAGCTTGCAGATGCCTCAAGGCAACGCTGCCATATCGAAAATGGCACAGGGAAAATCAGAATTGAGGCGCTTTTGAAGGGCTGAAAAATTATGACCTAAGTATACAGCCTTTAAGTCCGCAATTGCATGCGTTGGATTGATTGTTTTAAGTTCTAAAACTTTTTTGATTAGCAAATATGTTTTTAAAAAGAGTAAAAATTATTATTTTTACTCAAAATATTTTGCTAAGTAAAATCAATTATTACCTTGGTGAGTTCAACAAAACGAGAAAACTGTTAGTAACTTTGCCTTTTTTCTCCCATGGTGCGATATCCCACATATTCCTTTAGTCCTTTTTCAGATGTGCCGGCGCCGGAATGTCCTGTCCCGGGTCAAAGCGTACTTCCTGCGATTGTATTGTGTTTAGCCGGGATATGGGAAGCTGATGCAGAACAGAATGCTTTAAACTGCAAAAAGCTTTCGTCTTCAGTTGCTCGGCTTTCCATTTCCCTCCGAAGGGAAACTTTGCCAGCAGAAGGCAGCTCATAACAATGAAACTTTGCACGCTTTGGCAATTATGTGAGTGGGCCAATACACACACATATGACCCTATATCCTTTGGCAAATTAACCCACTTCTGCCATCCAATGTTTTCTTAGCTGCGTCTGCAGTTGTACAATTTTCATTCCGTTTTATGGAGAGTGTTTTTTG